TTCTTTGTGTCAGTGTCTTCATCCGTCACATGGGATGGGGATTGCGCACCCCCGTGAAAGTGGTGGCCGTGATTATTTTTCTTGCCCTCAAATAACTCCAGTCTGGCAGGGAGACTGATGTGTAGACCAAGCATCCCGATCCTGGGCGGAGCTGGCCCAGAGCACCCTAGAGGTCCAGGGGAGGGGCTGCTCCCCGGCCTGCATTTCACAAACATTTATGGAGGGCTGGCCGCTCTGTGCCAGGCACTGTGCTGGCCACTGGGGACACAGAGATGAACAGGACACATTGTCCACTTGTCCCTGCTCCTCCCTGCCCTCCCTTATCCCTCCCAGTGTTGGAACCTTGCACTGGAACGGGGCACCCAGGACAGAGCTGAGTAGGAAAAGGCACAGCCCGGGAGCCTGGGAATCAGAACGCCCTGGGTTCACGTCCACCACTCTCAGGTTGTCTGGCCTTGGCCACTCTCTGGCCTCAGGCTCCCCACTGCTGGACAAGATGGGCCCTCTGGTCCTGACCCACTCTGACAGGTGACAAGCTCCACCCCGACAGAGATTTCAACTGGCCCTAGAGTCCACCCCAGACTGCTGTCCCACTGAGGCAGTGAGGAGGAGACGCCAGCCTGGTACTGACTGGCACTGCCCTGCTGACAAGCTGGCATAATTTCACATGAAAAAGGGGGGCCTGGATCTGAAGGCGGGTGTTTGAAGCGGGTGGAGGGTGCTAGGGGAAAGGCAGAGCCAGCTCCCATAGGCCCTATTCATGGCTCTCTCTGGGGAGGGAGAGAGAGCAGGATAATTAAAACCAGGCTTTGTCCAAACCCCTGACCAAGCCAATATCTCACCTTTGAACCCCTGCAGCCAACAGAGCACAGCTGATGCCCCTTTGGAAGGAAAACACCAGTGAACCAAGCCACAGACCAAGTGTGGTGGGTTGGCATGGGGTGGGATGGGGGGCTGGAGGAGTAAATGAGCCAATTCTCCATCCACCAAACACAGAGGGACACCTGAGGCTTGGCCATCCTGAGGCATCTTTGTCCCCATTTCTGTCTCAGCTGAACAAGCCATCAAGCTCCAATCCAGCAAGAGACTGACCTTGATCTTGGCTTGTATCCAAAACAGACCCAGATTCAGGGTGGGAGTAACAGCAGACAAGTCAGGTCATGAGACGTAGGGTAGTGGAGTGAGATCATGAACTTAAGCCAGACTGCTGGGTTCCTATCCTGGCTCTGCCACTCATTAGTAATGTGATTTTGGCCAAACTATTGGTTCTCTGTGCCTCAGTGTCTTCAACTGAAAACTGAGGATAATAAAATAATAGTACCCACATCACTGTGGTTTTGTGAGGACTGAAAGAGGTAACATATAAATCCTGGCCCAGAGAAATTGCTATCTATGTCTTAGCTATCAGCTCTACTATTAAAGCAACTCCTCATCCTTACAACACATTTTTTTCAGGCACTAATGTATATGCTCATTTGAGTATATTTGCATCTCCCATGAATCTCTCCAGATTTTTACACTGGAATCCATCATAGGAATCTACCTAGCCCACTACACCAGAGGAAATTTCCCTGCATGATGCTCCAGGCTAGCCTGGGATGCTACAGCTTATAAACTTCTCCCTAGAAGTTCTCCTAAAGTGCTAACTGCAGTCCTTCATTTGGTAACTTATTCCATTCTCCTTTGTAGACTCTCTTTTAATCTGATACATCATGAAGTCCTTAAGTATCCCTGCAATACACGATGAAGCAATAAATGCCTCTGCCCACTCCTGCACTCTCTGTTCTCCAGCACCCTCCCTCATCCCCCACTCTAGGTCAAAATGCTGCAACCATGGAGGGCCAGTCAGGCCTCCTGCTCGCCTGGCCCATGAGCTCAGAGCTGGCCGGAGGCAGGGGCACAGAGGTCCCCATCAAGGCTGCCTAAACACAGGGCCTATTCCCAGAGTCCAGTCCCTTTCTGCTTGAGCTGAGATCCTCAAAAGACTGCCCCATTCTTCATGGTGTCCCAAAGCCACCTTCCTAATACTACCCCCCTCCTCAGAGTTTCATCTTGTGCCGTGACTCCCATCAGAAGATTCGGCACTATTGTTGTATAGTCTCAGCCGCTAATATCCACCCTACCTGCTCCCAGGGCTTGGCTTTTGAGGCCTTCATATCCAGCATTGAAGGATTTATGCATTGAAACCTAGGGTGGACCCAAACACTTTCTGAGCAAGTAGAAGAGTCTGGGGCTGGGAGCCTTTGGCCTGTGTTTGGAGGTGAGATGACTGGTTATGTAACTGAGATTCAAACTGCATGCCAATGAGTGCATCTCAGTGAGAGCGGCCACTCTGAGGAATGGGGTTGTTGCCCTGGCAGAGGAGGAGAACCCCAGGGGACCAAATGCCATCCACCCCCAGCAGAGCCACAGGGTGGGGCTGGGGGTGGAGATAGTAGGGGGGGTGGGGATGAAGTAGGTGGTGGAGCGTGTGTGGAGGGGGCGATCCAAGGAACTCAAGGATAATGACCTCTACTTACACCCCCTGTCCATCCTGAAATTCAAGTTTGTAATTAGGAAACACTTTTGGCTGAAAGGTAGAGGGGGAGTCTGGGATAGAGATGCAGATTAAGGGAGAACTGTATGAAAACTGAGGATAATAAAATAATAGTACCCACATCACTGTGGTTTTGTGAGGACTGAAAGAGGTAATATATAAATCCTGGCCCAGAGAAATTGCTATCTATGTCTTAGCTATCAGCTCTACTATTAAAGCAACTCCTCATCCTTACAACACATTTTTTTCAGGCACTAATATATATGCTCATTTGAGTATATTTGCATCTCCCATGAATCTCTCCAGATTTTTACACTGGAATCCACCATAGGAATCTACCTAGCCCACTACACCAGAGGAAATTTCCCTGCATGATGCTCCAGGCTAGCCTGGGATGCTACAGCTTATAAACTTCTCCCTAGAAGTTCTCCTAAAGAGCTAACTGCAGTCCTTCATTTGGTAACTTATTCCATTCTCCTTTGTAGACTCTCTTTTAACCTGATACATCATGAAGTCCTTAAGTATCCCTGCAATACACGATGAAGCAATAAATGCCTCTGCCCACTCCTGCACTCTCTGTTCTCCAGCACCCTCCCTCATCCCCCACTCTAGGTCAAAATGCTGCAACCATGGAGGGCCAGTCAGGCCTCCTGCTCGCCTGGCCCATGAGCTCAGAGCTGGCCGGAGGCAGGGGCACAGAGGTCCCCATCAAGGCTGCCTAAACACAGGGCCTATTCCCAGAGTCCAGTCCCTTTCTGCTTGAGCTGAGATCCTCAAAAGACTGCCCCATTCTTCATGGTGTCCCAAAGCCACCTTCCTAATACTACCCCCCTCCTCAGAGTTTCATCTTGTGCCGTGACTCCCATCAGAAGATTCGGCACTATTGTTGTATAGTCTCAGCCGCTAATATCCACCCTACCTGCTCCCAGGGCTTGGCTTTTGAGGCCTTCATATCCAGCATTGAAGGATTTATGCATTGAAACCTAGGGTGGACCCAAACACTTTCTGAGCAAGTAGAAGAGTCTGGGGCTGGGAGCCTTTGGCCTGTGTTTGGAGGTGAGATGACTGGTTATGTAACTGAGATTCAAACTGCATGCCAATGAGTGCATCTCAGTGAGAGCGGCCACTCTGAGGAATGGGGTTGTTGCCCTGGCAGAGGAGGAGAACCCCAGGGGACCAAATGCCATCCACCCCCAGCAGAGCCACAGGGTGGGGCTGGGGGTGGAGATAGTAGGGGGGGTGGGGATGAAGTAGGTGGTGGAGCGTGTGTGGAGGGGGCGATCCAAGGAACTCAAGGATAATGACCTCTACTTACACCCCCTGTCCATCCTGAAATTCAAGTTTGTAATTAGGAAACACTTTTGGCTGAAAGGTAGAGGGGGAGTCTGGGATAGAGATGCAGATTAAGGGAGAACTGTACACACATCCAGCTCCCGAGGAACACACCAGGCTTAGAGATTCCAAAGCACCAGACTCCCGCTCAACACTGAGCGGATGGTTGGGAAGGAATAGCCCTAAATCTTCCAGCCTCCGATAAAAGAGCAAGAGACCTCGGCCCAGGCCTTGATCCCAACCTGGACCCCCCAGAGAACTTTTTCCCCAGCTCTGACAGTATTCAACTCTTCAGCTTGGAAAGAGGGGGATTGTGTTTTGGGGTGGTGCTCCAGCAGAACTGGGCAGTCAGGCTCAGAGGTAGGGAGGGGGATGGCCCCAATGGAGCCCGAAGGCCCCTGCTGGCCCCTCCCCAGCCTCAGCAGCTGGCAGATGAAAGAACCCAAGCAAAGCAGCCCAGCGCTGAGTAATGCCCCTGGCACCCCGTGCCCAGACCCACCCACAGCCAGCCTGAGAGGGCAGAAGGGAGGGCAGTTGGCCTGAAGGACTGGGGGTCCCGGCCCTGTTTCTCTTCCCCAGGACCCAGTGGGGCAGAGGACCTGCACCCGGCAGCTTGTCGGGTGGTCCGGCCCGGCAGGAGGGGAGTGTGACCCAGGGAGGGGGTGTCCGGCCACAGTGGCCAAGGACATCCCGCTCTGGGAACCCCCTCCCCCACTCCCTCTCCCTCCAGCTGTGCCGGGGCCTCGCCAACGGAAAACGAAAACTTGGGCAGAGGAAACGGCGGCAGGCGCCCCGCCTGAAAAACCCGGACAAAAGGCGCGGGCCTCCCGCCCTCGCTGCCCGGCCGCCGGGGGCCTGGCACCGCTGCCCGGGTCGGTGCCCCTGGCCCTGGCAGCCCGGAGCGCGTCCCAACCCCTGACTACCTTCCTCCTTCCCGTCCTTTGCCCAGGGCAGCTCCCGCTCCAGCCCCCTTCCCAACCACCAGCGGATGTCCCCTGCGGCCGCGCCTCGCGGTGCCCGCGCCGTGTGCCCCAGGCTGTGCCCACGGAGCGGGGACGCCGCGACCCCGGCCCTGCTGCTACCTCCCCGGCAGCGCCTGGATCCGCCCCCTTTCCTGGATCAGCGCCCTCACCTTGGGGGGCCGGGGCTCCGGGCGAGGCGGGATCCCGACCAGGCAGAAGGCGACTCCATTCATCGGGCGGCAGGGGCGGCTCTGTGGCCAGGGCACTGCTGGGGGCGCAGGCAGGGACCCGGGAGGGGCGGGGGCCGANGGGGAGAGGAAGCTGTAAGAGAGAAGCAGACCTTCAGACCCCCACCCAGCCAGCCTGTGGCTCACGCCTTTAGACAGCTCACAGACCCACTCTGCAGTGGGTGACAATAAAAGCAGAGACCCTCCAGGCCTCCCAGTCACAAGCTCCCACAGCCTCCTTTCCCAACCTCATTCTGAGCTAGGCTCAAGGAACAAACCAGGGTCCTGAGTCCATTTCTCATTTCCGTGCCCCCAAGCAGCCCATCCCCTGATGACCCTGGAAGGGACAGTCTCTCAGGCTTTAGTTTCTGTTGGAAAGTTCTTTCTGCTGTCTAACAACATCCTTCCTATCTCCTTCTTTTTACATTCTATGCTTACCTCTTTTCCTTGCCTTCTTGTAGTTCTAAAGGACTCCTGTATTCCTTCAACCAAATTGTGAAGAAAGGAAGGCAGAGGTCACAGATAAATAGGAATATGATTTGGATGAAGAAGGCAATGAAAGCAGGAAAGCCAACTCTGCCTGCTGAAGTGGCCCACTCCCTCTGGGGCAACGAGCCTCATAAAACCTATTTGCTTTACCACCACTACCCTGACTCCTAAGAGCTGATCAGCCTCAAGTCCTAGACCCTCAGGATCAAGAACTCAGACCCTATAGGGGACAGTGTTGTCCAGACACCATCTAGACCATCCCTACTCCTATAAACCTGAGGAAGGAGATGTTGACTTGGTAAGTCTTTATGTTTTATTTATTATTATCAAATCCTCTGGAAGTCAGTAGAAAAGGATGCTTTTGTAATGATGGAGGGGCAGTTAATGACTCCTCTTCCTTCCTCTCCTCTCTTCATCAAGGTCATATGCAGCCGGAATTATGCCCCACTTCTGAGAAGTCTTTCCTGCTATCTAACTGTAACCCATCACACCGCCTATATTTTCTTGCTTAGTCTTCAACCAGGTCCCTCTGTCTGACTTTCTGCTCTGAAGCTCCAACAGTCCAAGGCTGGCTCAGGGGTTCTTTCCTCTCAAAACAAATGGGTTGTCTGTGTACGGGGGGAAGCAGTGACATCTGAGATCCAGACTGGACTGAGGGTGTGGGGAAGCGGGGAGGGTGGCCCCTGGGGTGCCCCTGGCTCACTTTTTCCAGAGCCTCATGCCCTCAGACACTGCAGGAGGCGGTGAGAGGAAATGAGCTCACACTGGCCGGCAGGCAATTCCTCCCTCCACAATGCACTGCGCTCACCTCCCCCACCCTCTCCCACTTCCCAGAAAGTGCACTCTTCCCCCACCCTGCTGCCCTTCCCACCTCTTCCTGCACCTTGACCTGCACCCCCATCCTCTCCTGCCCTCCCCCATCCATCTTCTCCAGCATCTCTCTCATCTTTCCTTTTCACCTTGGTTCCCCATCCCCTCTGACATCTGTATCCCATTACCTGCATCCCACCATCCACCCCGGAATCGACTCTATTCCTGGCACACTCTCTGGGGAAAAGGGCAATAAAGTCCAACATGGGATGGAGGGTGCCCCTCACTGAGGACCCTCTTTATACTCCTCCCTTTCTAAATTCCTCTCTAAGCCCACTCAGCTTCTTTCCTTCACAAATGCTTATTGGGAATCCTAATATACCCTGGGGTAGGAGAGTGGAGGTGGCCCCTGGGAATAAGAGATAAGGCTTAGCTCCTTCCCTTTAGGAGTCCTGGTCTTACCAACCCTGACTCTAGTGTGAGATCCCAGGAGAGGAGCCATGGAAGGCTGCAGAAGCAGAGGAAGGCTTCCAGAAGCAAGCGGCCACGATCTTTGGAGGGGGTCATGCATGGGACAGGGTGGGGTGGGCCATGGGAAGAAAGAAGATCGTGGACAAAAGCAGGGAGGCAGGAGAAAGCAGACTCCAGCAGTGTGGCTGGAGCCAAGTGGAAGGATCATGGGCAGGAAGCACAGAGGGATGAGGAAGGAAATGTGGGTGGGGATGTCACCGTGGAGTGACTGGGCCTGAGGCATTTAGATTCCAGCCTAGCTTGCGGCAGGGATGTGCCAGGGCCACTGTAGTATGATGTGGGAAAGAACGGAGGTGGGGGAGGGCAGTAAGGAGCCAGGGGTGGGGGATCAGATGGGAGGGTCCTGCACCTGGGCGGGGGCACCAATCATCAGAGGCCCCCAGATCTTGTTAACCAACTAGGTATTATGGAAAGGAAATGAAAGAGTCTAGAACAACTCCCAATGGGCTCCCCTTGTGGCTCAGCTGGTAAAGAATCCACCTGCAATGCAGGAGACCTGGGTTCGATCCCTGGGTCAGGAAGATCCCCTGGAGAAGGGAACAGCTACCCACTCCAGTATTCTCACCTGGAGAATTCCATGGACTGTAAAGTCCATGCAGTCCCAAAGAGTCAGACATGACTGAGCGACCTTCATTACATTTCAGAACAACTTCAAGTTTTATGGCTCAGAATATGAGATAATAGTTGTCCAGAATGTTCTCAGGGAGAGGGGACATGCCAGGCACTGCACTAAGTAATCCTTTGTGTATATTATTCCAATTCAGCCTTATAAAGGGTCTATGAAATAGGTATTATAATCTTCATTTACAGATAAGGAAGCTGAGGCCCAGAGAGCTTCAGCATCTTACCCGAGGCCACCCAGGATTTGAACCCAGGCATTTAGGCTCCCCACTCCAATATTCTTGCCTGGAGAATTCCATGGTCAGAGGAGCCTGGTAGGCTACAGTCCATGGTGTCACAAGAGCCAGACACAACTGGGTGATAAGACACACCATTTGGGCTCAAGTCCACACACTTAACATACAGGCTGTGCTGCGGGTGGGGTAGTGATTGGCAGCTTGAACCCTGGATCCTTCTCCCTGAAGAGAGGCCTGAGCTAGAGACGTGGCTTTGGAAGTTATTTGTGGATCAGGAGTGGGGTTCGGATTCTCCAGGGACACTGCAGAGAGGAGATGAGATGTGGGATGGGACCCGAGGAGCACCCACCTTTCAGGGCAGGCAGGAAGGAAGAGGCAGCAAGGAGGACTGAGGAGAGAGAGCTGGAGGAAGTGACACTGTGTCGTCGAGCAGGGGACAGGTGGGGTGGAGGCCAGACTGTGCAGTGAGGAAGAGCATCAAGTGTGAAGAAATGGAATTGGGCCACTGAGAGAGTTAGCAGGAAGGGACGGGGGATAGCACAGGTGAGTGGGGTTGAGGCACAGCTCCAATTCCGGGGGCGGGGGGGACACTTGAGCAGACTTTTTGATTGGGGAGCAAGGAGAGAGAGCCTGAGGGTGTGATAAGTGGAACAGAGGAAAAGGAACCCAGTGTCCTGCCAGTGGAAGAACCTGCCTCCCCCAGGCCCAGGTCGGGCTAGGAGAGGAGCGGGGAGGGAAGTCAGGGAGGCCCCAGACCAGAGCATTCCAGGGCCAGAATGAGGCCAGCCTAGGAGCCACTGAGGGGTTTTATTGTGTCAGCAAGGAGCCCCGAACCAAGAGCACATTCAAGTTCCCATCCTGCCCACGTAGTAGCTGAATGTCTGAGGAAAAGTACATCCTCTGAGCCTTAGTTTCACCCTCTGTAGATAAAAACAATAGGCCTTCTCCACCAGTCTCCAATGGAGAGCTCACATTTGATAAAGAATCAAAGCAATGAGTGGAAGACCATAGGGTGATGACCATAGGGGCTACGGTCACAGGGGTTATAGGGGTGATGACCAAGCATACACCTGGCTACAGCTTCCGGCCTTTCCACAGAAGGGGAGAGAGCACCCCCTGGTGGAGAAGGGCAGGAGGGCAGGACTGGAGGGACGGGCTGAAGAGAGACCTGACCTGTTCCTCTGGATTTCAGCCCCCAGGTTTTCTGCTTGTTCCCTTGAAGCAACTCATGCCCACCTAAATTTTCATCTCCAAAGAAGGTGGTGGCCCATAGGACTTCCCTGGTGGTCCAGTGGCTAAGACTCCGAGCTCCCAGTGCAAGGGGTCCAGGTTCAATCACTGATGGAGGAACTATTAACAGATCCCTCATGCCACAAATTAAGAGTCTGCATACCACAACTAAAGATCCTGCATGACTCAATGAAGATCCTGGCACAGCCAAATAAATAAAAACATTAATTAAAAAAAAGAAGGCGGTGGCCTAGTCCGGTCAAGTTCAAAGACATTTATTGAGCTCTGGCTACCTGCAAACTGCTGTGTGGGGTAGCAGGGAATGAACCTGGTGATGTGTTTGTCCTCAAAGAGCTCATTTTCCAGGCAGAGCAACAAGCACAGCAAAGGTGGCTGGGATGGTGCTACAAACAGGGCACTGGACAAAAAAAGAGGGAGGCTTCCATAACGAGGGGAGAAGGCAGGGGCCTTGGGAGGTAATGTTGCCTTAGACCTCGAAGGCTGGTAACAGACAGGTGGCAGGAAAAGGAGGCCTGAAGGCTGAGGCTGGGGAAGGGTGGGGGGCCCAGCTCTGGCAGAGCCCCAGGCATCCCAGAGAGGGGACCTCAGACCTCATCAAGCCCGTTGAACGGTGTAGGGTAGGACCTCAGTCCACTCGAGACCATGCCAGTCCTCACCCTCATCCCTGCTGCCAGATCCCTGAGGAATCCTGGACAAGAGGGATCCCATTATCTGAAACTCCCTGAAGAGAGAGGCACAGCACTCTGGCCAGGTGAGGGCTGAGACGCACTGGAAACCTGCCAAACAGCTAGGGCCCCAGTCCAGCAATTTCTGGACCTCTGACCCTGGTGGAGAGAGAGGTGGCTGCTTCCCTGGGCCAGCAGTAGGGCAAGCAAACCACACTCCGTGAACCCTAGTGTCAGGTCATCAGGTCGGGGTTGGACAAAAGACGCCCACACCTGCCACTCTCAACTGGCAGCACCTCCCCGGGGAATCATGTTGGAAAACTTATGTTATAGTTTGGCCCTGGGCTGGGGTCTCAGCCCCACAGGCTCTCCACTGTGTGAGAACTATGTGTGTGTGAGTGTGTGT